GAGGTGGGGCCGAGGTGCCTAGGGGCCGCGGGGCCAAACAGGGGGCCGGGGGGCCTAGGGGGGGCCGAGGGGCCAAACCAGGGGCCGCAGGGCCAAACAAGGGGCCGGGGGGCCTAGGGGGGGGGGGGGGCGAGGGGCCTAGGGGGCCGAGGGGCCAAACAAGGGGCCTGGGGGCCACGGGGCCAAACAAGGGGCCGGGCGCAGGTCAGGTACGGGGCCGGGCGCTGGGCAGGTATGGGGCCGGGCGCTGGGCGGGTACGGGGCCGGGCGCTGGGCAGGTACTGGGCCGGGCGCTGGGCAGGTACGGGCTCGGGCGCTGGGCAGGTACGGGGCCGGGCGCTGGGCGCGGAATGGGGCCGGGCGCGGGGCTAGGTACGGGGCCGGGCGCGGGCTAGGTACTGGGCCGGGCGCGGGCTAGGTACGGAGCCAGGCGCTGGCGACAGACAGGGCCGGGCGCGGGCTAGGTACGGATCTGGGCGCTGGCTGGGGTCGGGGCCGTGCGCTGGGCTAGGTACGGGCCGGGCGCGGGGCTAGGTACGAGCCGAGCGCGGACGAGAGACGGGGCTGTGCGCGAGCAAGGTACGGGCCGGTCGCGAGGCTAGGTACGGACCGGGCGCGGGGCTAGGAACGGGGCCGAGCGCGGGAAGGGTAAGGGCCGATCGCGGGGCGGGTACGGGCCGATCGCGGGGCTAGGTACGGGCCGGGCGCGGGCGACGAAATCGACGGGGCGACGGGGCCGAGGGGGGCCGAGCTAGGGGCGACGGGCCAAGGGGCCGAGCCTAGGGGCGACGGGCCAAGGGGCCGAGCCTAGGGGCGACGGGCCAAGGGGCCGAGCCTAGTGGCTATGGGCGACGCCACGGGGCCTAGGCTAGCAGTTACTTAGGTGGTGGGCCCATTAATTTTAGGATCCTAGGAAGGTAGTGCTCTTAATACCATGTGAGAATAATAGGCGAGAATGGTTTACTAGGAAGTGACGAGGGGTACAAGTAGAATGTCGAGAGAAAACTGTACCCCCTAAGGCTAAACCCACTATAGCCTAGACAACTGTAAACACATAAACTAAGCCTAGATATAACTAAGCATATATGTTTGACAGCGAGTTTCCGCCTGTAAAAAATGGGTCAGTCTGATAGCCGTGGGTAAATAGGCCTTTTAACAGTGGGCTGGTCTGGGCGAGTAGTATGGCGTGAATTTGGGCTGTGGGCCAGGTTAATGCGTCGGCGATGTTCGATGCCCCTTTTTTGTAGGTGACCGTGTAGTGAAAATTCGACTCAAGGTAGTCGAGCCAGCGGATTTGTCGTGGGTTGAGGTGGGGTTGCGCGCGGAGGTACTGTAGAGATTTGTGATCTGTCCGTACTGTCACGTCGGCGCCGGTCAAGTAACAGCGCCACACCTTGAACGCATGTACGATCGCAAGCATTTCGCGATCGTGTATCGGATAATTCTTCTCGGGCGGATGCAACTTTCGTGATTCGTATGCGATGGGCTGTAAGCCGTTGCCGAAGTCCTGTAGCAGTACGGCTCCAATGGCGATGTCGCTTGCGTCGGTAACCACTTCGAATGGGCGGTGTGGGTCGGCGATGCGCAGTACGGGCGATGAACAGAGAACATTTTTTAGGGTAGAGAAGGCAGCATGCTCTTTCTCCCCCCACATAAAAGTGACCCCCTTCCGCAGTAAATCCGTTAGTGGGGCAGTTAAGCAAGCCATGTCGGGGACGAACCGGCGCACGTAATTAATGAACCCTAAAAAACTTTGCAGCTCCGTGATGTTCGTGGGTGGGTGCCATGCTTTTACCGTGTCCAGCTTCTTTGGGTCGATTTCCACGCCAGCCTTGGAAATAACGTACCCTAAAAACTCTAGCCTATCCTGAAAAAACTCGCACTTGTAACCCTTGGTCAGTATTCTGTGTTTGTCTAAGACTGTAAATACTGCTTCTAAATCGGCTAAGTGCTGCTGCTTATCCCGACTATAGACTAGGATGTCGTCGAGGTAGATGATCACACATTTATCTAAGAGTGGTCTAAACGCCTTGTTCATGGTCATCTGGAAAGTCGCCGGTGCGTTGGTCAGTCCGAAAGGCATCACCGTGTACTCGAATGACCCGTACCTGGTCCTAAATGCTGTCTTGGCACAGTCCGGCGGTTCGACCCTAATCTGATGGTAACCTCCCCGTAAATCAATTTTCGAAAAGATTCGCGCTGTTCGCAGTCGATCTATCTGTTCGTCGGCTCGGGGGATGGGGTATCGCGATTTTACTGTAACCCTGTTCAGTGCTCTGTAGTCGATGCACATGCGAAATCCTCCGTCTTTTTTCGGTGTGAACAGGATCGGTGCGGCGAATGGGGACGAGCTCGGTCGGATGAATTTTTTCTCTAACAGGTAATCTAGCTGCTTCCTTAACTCGTCGAGCTCGGACTGTGTCAGTCTGAACTGTCGCTGTACGGTTGGCTGTGCCCCGGGTTCTAATTCTATTCGGTGATCGTGCGCCCGCTGAGGTGGCAGTCCCTCTGGTAAGTCATCGGGGAAGATCCCCGGGAATCGTTTCAACAGTTCCTGTAGCTCCGATGGGACTGCCCACAGTAGTTTCTGAAAATCACTCGTTTTGTCTGCGTCTTCCGCTATCGCGATATCCACCGTGTACACGTCAGCTCCAGCGGCGACAGCCCGTTTCATCGTGATGGCGTTGACGTGGACCGTTGAAGACTCAGGCGACTGCCAGCGAGGTAGTTCGACCCAGTTACCGCTACTTCGCACAGTACAGCTACCCGTCGTCCAGTCTATTCGCGGGTTATATACCGTCGCAGCCAATCACGCCCTAGTAAGATGTCGTGCCCATCCAATGTCGTCGCGAGCATTTCCTGTGTAAACCCGAAGTTTCCCCCACAGCGGACTTTTACTCTCTCCACTTTTTCCCATATGGCCAGCGGCGTTCCGTCAACTAAACGTGCATCGATCTCCGGTAAACACCGACTAAGTGCCAGTTGCAGCTTCCTTGCAGTCGCGGTGTTAACTAAACTGTGACTTGCGCCTCCGTCTATAAAAATCTTCACTGCTGCTCCCTGTATTTTCCCGTGAATCAGTACTGGGCAATCTGTCGATGTACCCTCCTTATTCGTCCGAGCCCGATCGATAGCATGAACCGGTACTGTAACTCGGTGAGGGTCGGTGAAGTTGGGCGAGAAGGCAGTCTCGTCAGTAGTTGGCCCAACTTCTACTGACTGCTGGCGTTTCCCGGCCCCTGAGACTCTCGCCCCTGCTCTGTTCCGCGGCGCCTCAGCTCCTCTGGGCATTCACTCTTGCGATGGCCCGACCTATTGCAAGAAAAGCAACGCCCCTTAAATGGTGCGGCAGCTGCATTTGTCGCAACGGCGTGTACGGTGGCGTGCTCGATTGGTCCCCGAGGACGTTGTCCGTAGTAGGACCCCGGTCTCGGTCGTCGTAGGATGTCGATTTTCTCGGCGAGCGCGAGAATCTCGTTGAAATTCGAGAGTCCGCGAAGCATAATTTCGTGCGAGATATCCGGCTTTAGCCCTCCGAAGTAACGGTCCACCCGCTCCGCCTCGTGCATATAGCCGACTTGCTCGCATAATGCGAGAAATCCACTCGTGTAGTCCTGAACCGATCCGAGCTGCCGCCAAGTGCGCAGTTTCTGACGTGCTGAAATCGAAGCCGCGATCGGCTCGAAACGCGCCCGAAGCCCTGCGCACCACGCATCCCATGTGCTGTACTGGGCTGTCTCGCAGAATGAACTCCAGGTGACGGCTGGGCCCATGGGCCCGTCTTCTTGCGACGGTGGCTCGTAGGCGCGTGGCGACGTCACGATGACCCGCCACCTGTCCATGGCAGGGCCCCTCGGCAGCGAAACAACGTAGCGAATCTTCGCTGCGTCTGACTCGACGTAGTTCGCGTCAAAGAATACGTTCATCGTGAAGACCCACGACTGAACCGTCGGACCCCCACGTTGACTTGGGTCGAAACAAGGCGGACGCTGCGGCTTGAGTGGCATTAGCGCCGTGATGGCGTACTCGCCACTTGTCGCTGCAAATTCCACGTGCCGACGGGCTTCGGGGGCTCCCGTGGGCTTGGTGTGACTCTGTTTCGCTCCATGCCACGCATTGAGTGAGCGGCGCCCTCACTGGCTACGCCTGAGCGCTGTCCCACGCTATCGTTCTGTGTCGGTGTGCCGGAGGAGATAACAATCGGCTCCTCCGAGTGTGCAGGTGCGTTTGTTGGAGCTGGAGCGTTCACTGTCGATTGTTGGCGAGCGGAGTCGCGTTCCGCCGTGAGTGTGGCGATTTCAAGCGCCGATTCTTCGAGTTGGCGCATGAGCCGGTCTAGTTGCTCCTGTGTCATTGTCGCGACGTTAAGTTCTGCCATGGCGGGGGTGTCGGGCAAGCTCAGCGAGAGCCTCTGTCGTGGCCGTGCGTGCTTACGAGAGAGCACTACGAGCGGCGGTGCTTGGTCGCTGAGAGACGTCTACCCCCCCCCCAGAAAAATTGAGATAGTGGGGAAACGAAGGTGTGGGTGCGGTCCGAGAGAAGATCGTAGGCTCTGATAACCAAGTGTTACGAGTGCAATTGAGTGAGTGAGCGAGGATTGCACTATCGAGACAAGAATACATCGAGCGAAGGATTGAGCGAAGAATATATAGCGAATGCTACGGTGGTAACGGTAACGTGGGAAATTGGGGTGCGCGACGGGCCTGGTGCCGAGGTTGGGGACTGTCGAGGCGGAGGTCCGGAGCGCGGGTTACCAACCGAACCGTGAGGTTGGGTCGCATCGTGAACAGTGGCGGGAATGGTGTCGAGGCGAATGTCGCGAGTGGTAACGGAATATTGAAAAGTGTGCCCGAATCCTGCCAATATACGTACCTTACTAGCAGCTTCACTACTAGCAGATACAGTAACAGAGGGGATTACAAGTACCGTAATCGTGCACTATCAACTCAACTGCAAGACAGCAGCAAGCAAACTCCAAAATGGTACGGTATTCCTAAAAATCAGCCGAGCCTGAACGTGAGCTCCCTTTCCAAAGCAGGCTCCTGAGATGCAGCCATCTCTTCCCCCTTCAACTCACACCCCCCTCCTTCCACTGCCGCTGATCCCTCCACTCTCGCTCTTCCGTCCTGACCTCGCCGCTCTCCACCCTTATCCACCCCTTCAGACCCCATTGTTCTCCCTTGCACTCCACTCTCTCTCCCTGGCCCGCTTCCCTCCCCTGCCCTCTCCCCTGCACGGCTCCCAGCCAGCCCACTCCTCCCCACACCCACCCCTCTCCGTGCCAGCACCGCTGCCCCTATCTGTGGATCAGAGCTCGTCCTCCTGTGCCTCCCCCTTCCGCCTCCCCCGCCTCCTCCCCCTCCCCCGCCCCTGACCCCTTCCCCTCCTCCACCTGTTCGCAGCTGCTGCACTGCACGGGCCCGCACAGGTAAGCCCTTCCCCCCACCCTCGCCCCCTGCTATTCCTTCCCCTTCCATTGATCTTCTGCGTGCTGTTGGCGTTACTCCCTGTCTCACTGCTGCACCTGGGTCTCCCTCCCTCCCAACCTCCCTCCCCACATCCCTCCCGCCGTCTCTCCACGCGTCTCGCCCCACTGCCCGCCCCTGTCCCTCCCCCACATCCCTCTCTCTGCTCATCCCATGGGGTTGTCTCCAAGGTGGGGGCCTCTGCTGCTGCTGCTGCTGCTGCTGCTGCTGCTGCTGTTGCCCCTCTGCTGCTCCCCTCAGATACCGACTTCGTCTGGTAACCGCTGCTGAGTCAGCAGTGGTCGGGCGGCCACTAGTGGACAAAGACTGCGACTTCACGAACCCAAGAAGACGGGGATCCGCCGACCCACCCACACGAGGCAGTGAATGCGCCCTAGGTGCATGCTCAGGACTCTCCTCCCACTCCTCCTCATCCTCCTCCTCCACCTCCTCCCCCTCTGCCTCTGCCCCTGCCGCACCCTTTGCTGGTCTGCTGACCACAGCAGTAGCACCCCCAACAGAAGCACTCTTGAAAAATAACCCATGCGGCGCAGCCTTAAGCTCAGTGACTCGCTGGTTCTGCCTTACTCGAGACCATTCCCACTCCCACTCTCTCTCCAGCCCATCATCATCCTCCTCTGCCCCCCTCTCCCCTGCCACACTTGTCACTTTCGCCCCGCTTTTCCCCTCGCTCACTGTCCCCTCGCCGTCCCTCTCCCTAGCTGCTACTCCCTGCCGGCCACCCCCTGCGTTTTTCTCGGGCAGCCCGTTCTCGTGCAAAGCCGTGAGTTTCTGCTGCCCGAGCTTTGCCTGCAGCAGCCGCTGCCGTTCCCGTGCCAGCTGTCGCAGCTCCTCCTCCTCCTCCGACTCGCTGTCACTGAGATCACTGCAAAACCCACCAGCATCACCAGCACTCGCAGCACTGGCAGCACCAGGAGCACTGCCAGCAACGCCAGCACTACCCCGCCCATCATTCCTACCCAAGTTCATGCTTTCGCTGTCCCTCCTCTCACTCTTCCTCCCGCTCCCTCTCTCTCTCCCCCTGCTCCCCCGCTCCTCCTCGTCACTTACGTCCTCACTGTCACTCGCCAGCACCCGCGCCCGCTCCTCCCGCGCGCGCCACCCCTCTGCGCGCGCTGCACTCCCTGCGCCCCCTCTCCCCGCCCCCCCCCCGCCCCACTGCTGCCTTCACAGGCGCTCCTCCCCATGCCTGCGCGCCCGCTGCTCTCTCCCCCGTGCTCCGTATCCCCACTCTTCTATCAATTTCTGATTCACTCAAGTCCTCTCCCTCCTCATCCTCCTCCTCATCTTCCTCCCCACTCAGCACCCCAGCCACCTTAAACTGCATCACAAACGGCTGCCCCATGCCCCCCCCACTGCCCCCAACAGCCAGGCCCACAACGTCCCCCTCTCCCGATTCTCCGCCAACCCCCCCTCCCCCTCGCCTTTCCCCCGCTTTCACGGGATGCCTAACCGACTGCTCGAGCCCTCGCCCCTCCCCCCGGTCGCTGTCGCTGATCGTTCCTCCCCTTGCCCCGCCCCTTCCCGCCACTCGCCCTCCCCTGTCTCCCCTCTCCTCACCAGCCACCCCCCTGCTTTTCCCCCCCGCTGATGCACCTGCACCAGCGGACCTGCCCCGCGCGCCTACCATCCGCCCCTGACCCCCCTCCCCGGCACCGTCACCCTCGCTATTGTCACTCTCGTCGCTGTAATCCGAGTGCCTAGCCTGCCTACGTGGAGCCAGCACTGTTCCCGCCACCACCGCTTCCCCCGACGCGGAACTCAGGGGAAGCGGAGCAAGGTCGTGCGCGGGGGAGGAGAGCGACCGCCGGTGCGCGGCGCGCGCACCGCCTGGCGCAGTCGCGCCGTCGGGACCCCCGCGGCTGGAACCAGCAGCGCGGGGCGCGCCGAGGTCTTGCGGAAAGCGGTTGCGCGGAAGGGAAGGTTGCGCGGGGGAGTCCCGCGGAGTCAACCCCGCGTGAGAGAGCCGCCCGCGCTTCTCTTGCTCCTGCTCCCTTCCGCCCACGTCCTCCTCCTCCCCTTCCCAATCGAGACTGTCTATACTGGAACTATCATCCCCCACATCGTCCTCGGGGCGTCCCGCAATCCCCCCCTTTCCCCCCGCCCTTCCCGCGTCTGCGCCGGTTCCGCCCCTTACGTGCAGCAGCGAGGGGTTCGACGCGCTTCGGACGCAGCCCGCGGGCTCGTCGTCGTCTCCGAGATCGAACGACACGGACCGTCGATACGGCTGATCGAGCGAGCTTACAGATAGGCTGGACGATTTCACCATTATTCCGCGGGGCCGCGGGGGAAACCCCGTAGGGGGAGAAAGGGCTTTGTTCCCCGCCCCCTCATGGCCTCCGCCTCCCCCGCCGCTTCGCACGCGCGCGAGAGTCCCTCCACCTCCGATGCTGTTGACGCGGCGCGGACCTGACGCGCTGAGTTCCGAGCCTGAGTGGGAGGATCGATCGCCCTTAAGGCTGCCGGTGCTGCGGACCGAGTCCTGCCGCGACACGGTATCCCAAGCCTTTTCCGCGCCTCGCAGTCGTGCGGAACGCGGGGAGCCCACGGCTCGCGGAGAGCCGACGGACCGGGGGGAGCCCACGGCGCGCGGAGAGCCCACTGCGCGCGGAGAGCCGACGGCACGCGGGGAGCCCAATGCGCGCGGAGAGCCCATACCGCCCGCGTCCGAGTGGCGGATGGAGAGGGGGGAAAGGGATAGCGGAGACGCGGAGAGAGGGGAGGCGGAAATCGGAGAGGCGCGCGATGGCCTGGGCGGGGCTTGCTTTGGCGGTCTCCACCGGTCCGCGCGATGTTCGCTGTCCGCGCGATGGTCCCTGTGCGCGCGGTGATCTTGGTCCGCGCGGTGATCGTCGTGCGCGCTCTCGGTCTCCTCTTGAAATTCCTCCATGTCGTCGTCGGCAATCTCTAGGCGCGAGCTGCCGAGCGATGCGGAGCGGCGGTGCCACCCCTCGTGGAGGCCCTCCTTGCGCAGCGACTGCACCGCGGGCGGCGCGCGCGGAGACTCCCCCGATCTGGTGTGCGCCACAGGGCGGCCGGCATTCGCGGCGGTGGCGCCCCGCGCGCCGGGCCGTGCGAGCGGCGAGGGTGAGAGCGACGAGCGCGGCGAGCCTTGATTGGATAGGCCGCTGGGGGAATCCAAACGATCCATCTGACGATTGGAAAGAGAGCCGTGGTGCGATAGCCGTCGATTTGAAGAGGGATTGGACAGCTGGGATTGACGCCTGGGAGAGGATACGGCATGAGAGGGCCCGTGCTCGGTGCCCCTCTCGCCGTCCATGGTCCGACAGCAGGCAAATTAAAGCTTAGGCTGAACGATGCTTAGACAAAATGAAGACCAAGGAGATTAGAGTGCTCAGGCTCAAACTCGTACTCTTCCTCACTTGTAATGAAGATTATCCTGCATTCACCCTGCCGTGAGGCCACACGACCTGCTGCTGATCTAACAGCCAGTAACAGCAGCCATTGACCTACCTGGAAACATTCTTTGACCTTCCTGTACTAAACTTGTACATTCTTTGACGCAGTGGGCAGGAGGTGGAACACGGGTCATGAAGGTGTCGAGTTATTTTCCGTCGGTTCAGTTCGGTACCGTGAAGACCGTGGCCATGTTCATTGAGCTGTAACCTTGTAACGCCTCTTCTCCCCAAATCGCATACCGTACTTGTGTCCGCGCAGCCGTATTGCGCGCATTTCTCCTGCGCCTCCCGCTCGCCTCCCTTCAAGTCAGTGCTTGCGCCTCCTCCCATTCCCCCTGGGCTGGACCGCCTTCCGTCGCGCTCCAAATCCCAAGGTTTGCAAGCGATGGGTTTCCTTCGCACCCTCCAAACCAGGTTGAACGCTGGCACTGTATCGCCGAACCAAACCTCGCGACCAGAGGTGTTGTCGCTTCTCCCCACTTCGGCCTTGAAGCTTTCCGCCGAACCTCAATACCTCGCCAAGCTTCAATACTCCCCCGAACCGCAACCTGGTGCTAGCCTCAGAGGCAACAGCCAATGTGTCCACGCCGCGTGGTTCGCTTACCACACCCATAATAGGTTTGCAGCCGCAATCAGCTCTTTTATGACGTGGCAACACATCATCACCTGGAAAGCTTCCAGGCAGCTTTGGAAAGTCCACACATTCTTACATTCACCCCGAGCTTACGTGAAAGTCACCCATTTGCTGAAATTGTCAACGCCGAACCTCCGCCGCTGCCCATACCGTACTAATCTGTTCCGCACCTCCATCTATCGAGCATATCCCTAGAGCATTGTTCCGAGTCCACCTCCAGTTTGGCAGGCTTACCACTGCAAGTTGGAGGACTCGGACTTTGCCAAACTGAAGTTGCTAAGTAAGCCTGCCAGAGCAGCTTTTTGTTGCGAGAGAGCAACGAGAATCCAGTGCTGATCTATATAGGCAGCATTTCGATTAGTCTCGTCCTGTTCCGCCGCAACGATTTTCGTAATGGCAAAGTCTCTGCTTTCCGTCACTCTCGCGATCCTGCTCGCATCCATGGCGGCTCTGGCCACGGCGTCAGGTCGCACGCTTCTATCCAAGTCCCACACTCCTTGCCGTGACCCGAACGCCAGAGGATTCACTGGCGGAGAGCTCGTCACGGAGCCGCGATCGCACGAGACTCTGAAGAAGTCGGATCTTCCACGAAACTTCTTCTGGGGCAATGTTAGCGGCGTGAACTATCTGACAGAGAGCAGGAACCAGCACATCCCGCAATATTGGTACGACAACGTGAATGTGAAAGTGCAACGTCTCGCAAGGTTTTCAGTTTCCGACAATCCGGGTAACCCTGTTGACACTCGCTTATCATATTACCAGACATAGATTCGTTTCTAAACACAAGATTCTCTTGTCTAAACACAAGTCAATGTCTGACCATGTTCATCTGAATATGAACAGCGGCTCGTGCTGGGCCTTCGCGACCACGTCAGCAGTGTCGGATCGCATCAAGATCAAGCGCAACGCTGCATGGCCGGACATCGTCCTCTCCCCCCAGGTATCGTCCTCTACCCCCAGGTATCGTCCTCTCCCCCCAGGTATCGTCCTCTCCCCCCAGGTATCGTCCTCTCCCCCCAGGTATCGTCCTCTCCCCCCAGGTATCGTCCTCTCCCCAGGTATCGTCCTCTCCCCCCAGGTATCGTCCTCTCCCCCCAGGTATCCCCTCGCGTGTCTCGTCCAGGGCCTCATCTAAAGCCACTCATCTAACGCGCCTCACTCTTGGCTGTCGCTTTATCACCTGCCGTGTGAACAATCTTAGTCGGCTTGTGGTTTGTCGAGGCGATTAGACCTCTTAATCCAATACAGAACGATTTCGTTCCATTGATCCGATCCGATCTGATCCGTTCCGATCCGATCTGCTCCACGCAGGTGCTGCTGAACTGCAAGGGCGGCGGGTCGTGCAACGGCGGCGACCCGTTCAGGGCGCTGCAGTACATGGCGCACCGCGGCCTGCCACACGAGAGCTGCCAGAACTACGAGGCGGAGGACCAGGAGTGCCGCCCGCTGGGGTGAGTGTGGAACTTCTAGGAAAGAGAGTGTTGTCTTACATTGTAGCTGTCAGAACTAGGGTGGATGTTCCAGGGTGAAAGTCTGACCGTTTCAGCACGTGTTTTAGAACCTGAGTGGACCCGGAGCCCTTTATGTGCCACACATGCTTCCCTGTCAGTGACTGTTGTTGCTCCTTACCGCCATGCATCCATGATGCTGTTGCTCGCAGGGTGTGCAACGACTTCGTGCCTGGAGTGGACCACTAAGAATTCAACCCTTGGAGCGCCAGGCACATGCTTTCCTGTCACTGCCTGTTAATGCTCCTGATGGTTAAACATTCGCTCTGCTGCTGTGCTCGCAGGGTGTGCGAGGACTGCGTGCCAGGAGTGGACCCTGAGCCCTTCACGCCCGGCACGTGCTTCCCGGTTGCCAACTTCACTCTCTGGCGTGTCAAGCAGTATGGCTCCGTGCTCTCAGGTTCGTTACAAGCACGTCTCCACTTTGCAGGTTGTTTTTAACGATCTTTCAAAAACTCCCTGGCATGTGCCTCACTGTTTCCATGCCAACTTCACCCTCTGGCGTGTTAGCAGTACGGCTCGCTGCTCTCAGGTCCAGCTACACTGCATACTCCTTGCTAGCGCATGTTGCCTCTGCTTTGCACTTCCCCGCGAATGGCGTGGGTCGGGCTATTTCCTGGTTGATGATCGTGGGCCCTGGTGGGACCTTGTGTGTTGTCTTTTTCCACTCCTGTTTTTTACTTTCTTTCTTTCTTTCTTTCTTTTAAATGTCTTAAAAATGCGTGTTTCGTTTTTCAATCCTGTTTGCTGCCTGCAGGCTCGGACGAGGATGCTGTTGGTAACCGTATGTCCAGAGCTGACAAGCTCAAAGGTGAGAGCAGCACCTGTGTGACTCTTTCAGGTGCTTTCTCTGTCCAGTCGAGAGTCAAAGGTGTGAGGTGCAGCTATTAAGATTTAAGGAACAGCTATAACAGCTTTTACAGCTATCACAGCTATCGCACCTATCCCTGTCTTCATTCTAGTCTGGCTTTAACTCATTCTCCACTGAATCCAACCTTGTTTTGAAAGTTTGCAACTGCGACCCGTCTCGTGCCACTTCTGTTCCCGTGTGTGCTTCCGTACTTGTTTGCTAACTGACCTGTTTCATATCGTGCTTGGCCCCTTTGTCCTAAATGTATTGACCCTCATTTGCGCCACTTTTCTGGTGCCTTCCCCTTCCTGCTTGCCAGCCTGCTCCCCCCTGCCCGTCTGCTTCCCCCTGCCCGCCTGCTTTTCCCTGCCTGCCTGCTCCCCCCTGCCCGCCTGCTTTTCCCTGCCTGCCTGCTTCCCCCTGCCCGTCTGCATCCCCCTGCCTGCCTTACCCGGACCGGACTGCAGCGGAGATCTTCAAGCGCGGTCCCATCTCGTGTGGTATGGACGTCACAGACCTTTGAGTCGGCTCAAAAGTCGTTGCTTGCCCCTGCGTGCCTCCCTCTGCTTACCTACCCTGGACTCCCTCCTCTCTCCCCACCCCGCGTGCAGCGGAGATCTTCAAGCGCGGCCCCATCTCGTGTGGTATGGACGTCACAGACCAGTTCGAGGCGTACACGGGCGGAATTTTCCACCATTTTGTGCCGCTGCCGCTACCCAATCACGAGGTGTCGCTCGTGGGGTGGGGCGTGGACGAGGCCTCGGGGCAGGAGTACTGGATTGGCCGCAACTCCTGGGGCATGGCATGGTGCGTATGACGATTCGCTTTAAGACAGATCTCTGTGGTTTTTTTGTGTGT